GGAAAGAGGAAATCAGAAGAGAAGAGTTGAGGAAGGCGGGTGTTCTTCCACCTGCCAATGAGAAAGGAGAGACATCAAAGGTTTCTAAAGGAACTTCTAAAGTCAAAAGTTACTTGACAAAAACTTCTAAAGATCCTCCTCGATCGAAGATAAAAGGAAATTCACTGCAATCTCTGGATTCTGTAAATATCCGAAACAAAACCAAACCCACAGATTCAAACAGGATACCAACAGGAAACGGAGACAAACAATGGCCAAACAGGACGGCCCAGAAAGAGAAAAGTAATCATATGTCAAGTATAGATTCAGCAATCGCTTATTTATCGGTGTCTGATCATCAAAATAACAACAAAATTCCTAGTCCCACAAAATCGAAGGATCTTCCTGACAGATACGGTTGGTCTGAGTCTTTAAAAGATGGCGGTGCAGAAACAAACCGAATGGACTCTTCGTCAAATTCAGTGGATCGGCATCGAAACAGAAACAATTGGTTTGGCTCATCCGGCAACTCAAATTTACGTCAGGCCATAGAAAATACCTACAGGAAGCCGGACGAGTGGGCCAGAATTCTATCAGGTTCCAAATCAACGTACAGAGATACGGACAGTAACAACTTCGCGGGAATACCCGGTTTCAGCAGATCTCTTGGTAAGGATGTGCCTGAGAGCAGAATGCCTCATTTCAGCGGTTCTCTTGGTAAGGACGCACCTGAGAGTAAGGCACACACGTCGAAAGGATCGCAGACCAATTTTAGCAACTGGCGTGGCCTCAATCCAAAGGAGGAGAGAAGATACTATAAAAGTGAATCAGTCTATAATAGTCCCAGTACGAGTTGGCCGAGGTTTTCGGTAGAGTCCCTCAAACATGGTAACCTTGCTGGGAACGTCAAAACTTGGCCCAACATTCCCTCAGATCAAATCATTGGTTCGAATACAAACGGTTACAACCCTGACGAAACATCAGATAACTGGCCAAAATTTCCCCTCGAAGCACATCTCCCAATCCAGAGTCCACACACTTACATCTGGCCTAATTACTCGCATTATAATTCAAATCATAACGGTATAGTAGACGGTAAGATCAGCGATTGGTCAAAGCCATCGCTAGATTCGGCAGCGTCCAAACAAAGAGAGAGGATGACGAACGCTTGGTCAAAATCGCATTCGTCACAGCAGAGGCCTGTATCCGCTTTGGACACAGCCATAGCGCACCACACCAAGGAGGCATCCGGCAACAAGCAGTGGCCCCACTTTGCATACCACAGAGTGACCTCCAGCCCACAGATTCTTGCCCAACAGCAAAAAGAAGCCCGGCAAAGGGCACGTCACAGGAACGCGTACATCGCCGTCTCCGTGATAGCTCCACCAAGAAAGAATAAGGGACTGAACAAGACGCAGAGCTCGTTACTACAGCCTCCTGGAAACGCACAAAACAATGAAAACGGGCCCCCAGACAAACCTTCCGTGGCACCCTTCCCCGACAAAATGGACCAGCTGCTGGCGATGCAGTCCGAGAAACAGAAATTCCCTGATGGAGGGGACTTACTTGAGGAAGAGTTGGTAGATGTAGCAGTGATGGGGCAGCAGCAAAGAGCTGCTTTGCCTTGGAACCACGCCAGGCACCTCGACAAGATTCAGGTAATCCAATCCTTTGGAAATGCAAAGGGCTTTATCTGTTTCCGGAAGAAATGTTATACGTGTCGTGGAGGTTAGGGACTGCCTGATGGTAGTTGTTGCTGTAGGCCATCTTTCATCACGTTTCTTATACTTGCTGATAAATGGTATCCCTCGGACCTACTTACTATACGTGGGGGCTTCTCCACTTCTGATTGCTGATTCAGTATGGGCTTCGCCAATGTGAACACTAATTAAGTGACTTCTCACTAGAGGTGATTTTTGTACTTTTCTTGGCAGCGAAGCTCATAAGGCGTAACGTCACTAATAAAGTCTTCTCGGGCTATCAGACATGTTAGATGGTGATTAATCGCCGACGTTTCGAGGACCATCTCTGTCCTCATTCTCAAGGCTGTTTACTGTCAACTGTCCTTAAGTTCTTGTGGGTTCTATAAACCCACCCAATAATAATCTTAAAATTCGCCGCCAATCCGTATTTCACACACAGTTCATTGATGGCTAATGTTTCAGTTTCAAACCTTTCAACGCCTGAAAACCAGCAATAGTTACTTTAAAGTGTTGAGAGATAGCGGAACACGTTTCATTCACTGGTGTAAAATACCGAATAAATCCAGTATAAAAGAACAGTGATTTTAAGAGCACTAACTCACGAGCACCACACACTCGTACGACTTTTACACCAAGGCCGCTTGTTAGGGAAACAAAGCCCTCCGTCTATCCATGCAGATGAGAGGGAAACAAACAAAGCCATAGAAATTGTTTCTCTCATACTTCGTGGTAAATTTACCACACAGCAGAGCACAGCACAAAGAGACTGAGAAATTAGAAATCTACATGAATGGAGAAAGCTTTTAAGTTACCGACAACACTCAAATTTCACTGTATCATGTTCTTTTATTTAATCACGAAAATGTAATCAACTACATACTACAGTACATCAAATGAATGACGTCTCCTACGTCATTAAAAAAAGAATGAGTCCTTATATTAGATTAGTTTACATTCTTTCAAAATTAGAGGAAGATATTTATTTGAAATTTCTCTTCGGACTTACAGACTGATGGATCATATCTTTTATTTGTTCAAGGGCAAATCACACCGGGGTTGCTAAGTGACCCGTCGTCGAGTATCTCTACTTCTTGGGAATCATAGGCCTGCTTCAAAGTATAAATTCCCACAAAATTTGGCAATCAAAATGTACATACAGAACGTCCCAAAAAAAATGTGTACATATTAGAACACGGTGACCGCTTGCCAGTCAGCTGCTCGCCGCTGTCGACTATGCCACGTGGCTAAACAGCGGTCATTTTGAACACTTGTGCAATGATTCAGTTTATTATAATGTATTTTTGTTCTGCCGAGGTGCAGTGTGTATGGAGTACCGCTGAACCACGAAATTAAGACAGAGTTTTATTTTTCGTTGTTCACGGTTAACATGAACGATAAGTCCCTAATATTTATACATTCCCCAGATAATAGCTTTTGAAATTATCACAACTATTTCGAAATACTTTTATACAATACGTGATTATTCATAATTTCAGGAGCAACTGAAAACGCTTTCGGCCATGGGCGAGAAGTTACGTTATCACCTGCTGGAAAAAGAAAGACTCCTCGAGCTACTCAGAGATGGTGAAAAGAATGGTTCTGCTTTCTTAAGATCGCAGAGACATGCCAGCACAGGACAAGAAACCACAATAACCACGGCCACTACAACAAGCATTGATCCCCCAGACCGTCTCATTACCCCTCATACAACACAACCCCCACCAACTCCTTAGCAAATGTTGATTACATTAAAACATTCTGATTCCGCCAGTTAATCTTGGTCAAAGACGAGTACAAATGGAGAGGTCATGATTATTGGTTCCAAGAAATGGCAACCAGTGGCGGATATAGCGTTACTATAGAATAAATACAATAATTGGCATTTATTGACTTAAAAAATAGCGAAGCCTTTGGTCGTTCGCGGGCAAACTCGATCACATTTCAGCAATAATCATGCCATCCGTGAAAAATAGAGAGCAATTACGACTCAAAATTAAAATACACTGCAGCAAACTGCGAATCTCGTATACAGCTTTTGAAAGAACCGAGATTTATTACGCTAGGCACTCTGTGTATTCCGGCTTATCTTACACCGGAAGTTGTTACTGCTGTTCCGTACGTGTTCTTATTAAGAAAATTCGGCTAGTCGGTCTCAGTGGTAATACGTAATTTCTATAAAGAGTTAACTTTATTCAGAAACGGAGGGTAACGTTTCTCTTACTGAACTTTCGAACGCAAAAAAAAAAAAAAAAAAAAAAAAAAAAAAAAAAAAAAAAAAAAAAAAAAAAAAAAAAAAAAAAAAAAAAAAAAAAAAAAAAAAAAAAAAAAAAAAAAAAAAAAAAAAAAAAAAAAAAAAAAAAAAAAAAAAAAAATCAAATCAGAAGGGTCAATGGTTCTAAGTGAAATAAATCGTACATGTCATGGAAGTAATTGGTGGTAATTACCTAATTATTTTAATTAAATGCTGATCTGCGCTGACAGCGCATATATCATATCACATTTGGTCATGGGCGTAGCATTAAACAAATGATCCCAACGTCCAAAATTGGTAAAACGCCGGCAGAAGTCTACTAATGGAAAGAGGCAGTTGAAATTCAATGGGGAATGATTTTTTCATCACGAATTTATTTCTTGATTAGAGAAAGCACTGATAACATAAGTGAATTTGAGAAGCGAAATTAGTTTAATTTGCTTCTTTATTTAAATAAACAAGAGTGTATAGCTGCATAAATAATATTATATTTATATATAAATATAAAATGTGGTTTAGGGTTACAAATATATTAGAAAAAAGTATTGCTGTTCCAGGCTGTAAGATAAGCTTATAGAAATTGCCTAGAATAAAAACAAAAGCACGTGTTTAAACTTGTCTAAATAAAAATTAAAATTGGGATTTATGATATTATAATATGTGTCAGTTGGGTTTTGTCCGCCACTGATTCCAACTTCGTATTCGAGCTGGTCTCATTATCTCCAAAATCGTATCACTGCCTCCGGACAGGCAGGGGAATGGACTGGACCGGACTGAGCTTAACATGAAGCAACAACTGTACTTTGTAATTACATTTCCACGGACTTCCGAACTGATCCAACTTGACCAAACTTCAATGAGTATCTTTCACAGTCAGCCCTTCCACGAAATTGTAACAACATCCCTACAAAAACAGTGAGTTACAACATGACAGACTGTTTTGATAGGCCTTTGAACCAAAGAACTATAGTTGGAATTTGTTTTATCAGACAATTATCTTCTATTGTCTTCTGGTTGAATACCCATTCTACGAGAGGTAAATCATTGTTAATATACACACCCCTGTGACACAAATTAATGACTTCGAAACCCCAACACAACAAATATGAATATTCAATAATTATTATTTATTTATATCGTAGTCTACCTAGAAATACACAACGTACAATGAAATATCTTGAGATATATATAACTCATCAGTATACCAAACAAGATCAAACTTTCTGTTTCTGCTAAAATTCATCCCTCATACCATATACACACCCCCATTATTTCAAACATATCAATTATAGAAAGCTTTTGTTTAAAAAGCAACCGGTCAGTTATTTGTACAAAAATATTTTTCAGAAGAAGCAATAGACGTCTATAGGAACTGCTGGGACCAAGTCTCGAACAGAAGTATTAAATTAAAAATTAATATATCCATAATTCAACCGTTAGTTTATTCACAGATATATTCCGACTAATATTAAAACATCATTTAGACAGACGCAGTTACTAAAAAATCTATGCGCCATGTACATTTTCTCTAAGTGTTGCTTTTGAAGTGACGCCCATAACCTCAAATTACACGTACACAAACTGCTCGTACTATATTGATTAAAACTGCAGTTGAAGTTAACGTATATAAAGTTCCCACTTTCCCTAATCTCATCTAAACACAAAACCATTTAAATTTCCACCTACGAGAACAACAGGGAGTCCTGAATCTGATATCTGGCCAACAATGATGACCCTCTGTTTGCGACCGTCGATATTAACAAGGATCCTCACAATTCACTATAACCCTATTCTACCCCACCCTTAAGTCATTGGGCACTTCAACACAAGAAATGAGTACTAAGCATGTGATGATATGAAACAAATCTCTTTTCGACAAACATATTTTACATATAGACTATATAGATGGAGTGTGCGTGGTTATATATGGGGGCTGATCAGTGTGAATGAAAATCGCTGCTGCATAAAATGAGACATGTCACATATTGCAACTCCTCAAATGACAGTTATAATAATTCTGGCTTGAAGCGATATTAAATAATTAACACATCGAGCCACTTAATTTTATACAAAATTCATTTTTTCAAACACCTTTAAGAGCTAACATATCCAATCAGAGCTGATAATTAAGGGACATTTAAAGCCTATGTGGCTCATGCCATCACATTAGTAAAAGAAAGGAAATATGATCAATATATGGGGTGCAAAATTCTGTATATTTTTGAATTATAACAAAGTTTTAACTCGATAAGTTTTCAGAGACTAACCAGAAACAAAACATATTACAATTTTAATAGCGACAGAAACATACTCATAATTACAACAAAATTAGTTTCATGATCTTCGACAAAGTACCATACCAATATTCCTGATCAAAATAAAAGTTTCTTGTGCTTACACACCATAAATCTGAACTAAATACCCACAACTTATTCTCCACTTAATAAAAATCTCAAAAAAACAAATTATTTCTGCTCTTAAATTCTGAAACTACATCAAACATGGTTTCATGCATAAAGTTATAAAAACAGATGAAGAGTCGCAATTTCCACCCTCCAAAAATAGGAAGGATGGCAATGTCCTTTACTAAAAAGTCATACGACAACTACTTCGTGATATACATAGAAAGAGTGAAGTAATGTGTGGCCTACCGCAAAAACACTAATTTGTAAGAATATATGCATAAACATATCTGTAGTAAAATAGGTCATAATAATTTGGATAACACTGTTTTAAACAGTCTGATGCAGGGCACGCCCAACATTCCGACAGGAATTTTCAGATGAGTACGCTGTCAAGAACCAGAATGTGTTTTTGTACATCAGCCATAAATCCTTGTTTCCCCTGTGTTAAGTAACACTTCGGGTAGATTTGTCTCCCATAATTGCTTTACCATGTTCGCGTGCTGCCCGATTTCTCAACTGCAGCTAAAAAAGTACCGGTAAATATGTTGTGTGTGTGTGTGTTAAATGGAGGACACTCCAGAAAAGTGATATATCTTAATACATTGCTACTCGTGCAGTAAAAGTATGTTGACAAGAAACATTTATATGTTTTAGATACAGTCCATTTCAAATTGTCTATAGAGAGCATTGGAATATGTAATATCATAATAATAAATATCTGTTTTAATTAAAAGTGAAAATATATATACTTAATTATATAGTAGATATTGCGTGTTATTTGTCCCCGACATATAATATTCATTTAAAATATTTTCTGCGTCATTTAACCTCAACAGTTGGTTGAAACCTAAAGCTATTCATTTATGTAGCACATTCCTCTAAATATTTCATTTTAAAAATTTATTATTTTAAAACATACATCCTTGGCCTTTATTGTGACTTTGGATAAATCATTTAATTTCTATCCTTAACTTTGATTTTTGTTGAAACTGTAACAAACCCGTTGCGACACATTTTACATTTTTCGTAGTGAATAATGGCAGGCACTAAATGGACAGCTCGTGTAAAGAATTGTTTACGAAATTTGGTAATCTTCCACTAGCCAGCACATTCTTGCCATTTTCAGTAGACAACAAAGAAAAATTTCAACTTAACAAATGCAAGCGACACAAGGATGGAAGAATGGCAACTTACAAAATACACAAAGGTAAGCATTTCTACTCACCGATCCTGCGTTGCTCCAGTTGTATGGGCTGGAATTACACATGGGCACACACACACACTTCACTAAACAGTTAATTTTAAAAACAAAATGCATGATCAAACTGTTAAAATGTCCTCGGTGTAACAACACAGAAAATTTACAATAACAAGAGGCTTCCCGACTAAAATCATGTACATTACAATATTCCATGCATTTTTCATCCAGTTTAATTTAACAGCCCTAATAACGTCAGGCTAAGAATACAAATTATCAAATGCTTTATTATTCAATTTTCCCCATCCTGTTATATAAATGGTCTGCAAACTTGGCTATTCGCATCTTTCTTGTGGGATGGATAAAAAGATTAATTTCTTGGTGCCTGTAATTTTGATTTGTTACCGTCGTTCTCAAATATGCTACTTTTGCCATATTTTTAAATATTTAATATTAATCATTATATTACAAACTTCAAAAACAAAGACAGTGTGTGCCTATTTGTGGTACACTGTGAACTTGGAAATAATAATAATACGTGTATCATAGTTTGGGAAACGCTGTTGTAAGGTAACTATGTGCCGAGTATCTACTTAAAAACGTCTGTTTAAATTAACACATAAATCATCAATATTCAATTTTATACAATGAGCCAACTGTTACACGAAAATCCTTTCTATTATAAAATCTAATTTGCAACTAAATGGCATTATCAATTACTGCTTATAAACTATACGTGCTATTCGCGTCGAAATGTTAATCTAAAATAAAGTATTAAAGACATAATATCTCGCAGGCAAACATGTCCATTTTGGAAACAAATCCAAACACATCTGCCGAAATTAGCCCGATCAGAATAATCAAAATTTCGGAATCACATCAACATATTCTGTGACACATAAACCACGCTTTCTAAATGTCATCATGCAACAGTTTTCTGGTTACAACAAATGCCGTACTAATATAACCAATTTTGCTTTGATCATGTGACGCCGTTGAAATCCACAATTTTAACAAAAATATTTCTGGAATTCAAGATCAAAAATGCGTTATTCGACCACGGTTTATAATTGGAATTGACGCTTTGCATCTAATAAATTTTCAGACGAAATTGGTAATCTTAACATTTGCAGATAAGGGTCGAACTGTAGCTTTTCAGTCAAATAACTTTAAAATTTCCTAGAAAACTATTGTAGTTAATATTCTCTTCAGGTCAATACTACCGAAAATAAATATTTATAAAATTTCGGTAAGTCAATGAAACATAACGTATTTTAGCAACGACTGAGTACACAAGAAAAAATGCATGTTTACTGGAATTTTATACAGGGTGATGGCCGCCATATTTACAAATAAAACTCGATGACGTTTCAAACGTCATCCATCGAATCCAACTTCAATATATTGCCCCAAAATGTCATGGGTTAGACCAAATCATATTCGGTTTAATTTATTTCAAAATGCGTTCGTCGGACAGTAAAATACGGGGGGAAAAATCGCTTGGTAACTTACAAGACATGTTACATAGATTTTACAAACGAGTTCCACTTGTCAAACACACATTTTGCTTCTCCAGAATCTTTTTGAACACATATCACTGAACGAACTGAAACTGACCAATTTATTAAACACGGTAACCTAAAAAAAGATAATGTGCGTGTCGAATTCAACTGAATCACATATAAAAATACTTAAATTCGAATATATTAAGCAGAACGAGGACATAAATTCTTCCGGAAGTAGATGTCACTAGTAATTCTGTCAGGTAGCAATCATGTCGAAACAAAATTAATCTTAATTCCCTGCGAGTCTAAGGCACAGAGAAAATAAATAAAAAAACAGAGATGAGCCTTTAGCAACTTCCGTAATGATTTTCTAACACAATATTATTCTTTCAACGCATATGATAATGAGGTCTTCGTTTTACAGGTTATGTGATCCTGCGGATGGCACTCGGAAATTAAATTTATAGAAGCGCGTGCGACGACCATAAATTCATATAGAAAATCGGTAATATTTTCGATTGGTAACCCGAGCTTTGACAGATCACGCTTAGGCCTAGAGACTTTTTATTTTCAAAATACTAGTAGGTCATTTTTGCGTGCTTTTCCGTTGCAGTACATATCCGACATTTCAGATTGTAACACGTTCCACGATAAAAATGTGCTTCATTACAGCACATGTTTAAGAACTAAATAACTTCTCAGTGCTTTTCATGTTCCCATTTGTGCCAGTTAATAAACTTCATGCATGTAGAAGACTTGAATACCAAATGTGTATGTTATTTTTAACACATAAGAAATGCATACAAAATAATTACGAGCCCAAAGATTCATAAAAAAGAAACAAAAATGCATTAACATTTACGCATTTTTAAAGCATAAATATGGAAACAGTTGTGCAGATACTGTCAACAAATCATGCTACAAAAGTAATACGGCAAAGATCACAGTTATGGAAGAATTCCTTTACTTCTCCCTTACAGACATCTCACATTAATTAGAAGGGAATATTATCAATGACTTTCTTTTACACTGTCTTACAATATAGTTACAATGCTGCCTAATACCCGAGTCAACACAACCCCCCCAAGACCAACTTCTCGGTCCCGATTACAATATTCTGAATAAAATGCATGCTCTACAAAATGGGGGATGCTTTTAGAGGGCTGTTGTGACCCTTCAAAATTTAGTTTTGGATTCCTAATTTAATGACAATGGACAGTCGGGTTCCGTCCAAAGTGATAAGAGTCTTCCCGAGACCACTACCATCCAGTTTAATGAATTCCTTGCACAGGTACCAGCTTCATGAAAGACAGCACAGTGGAGTACTTCTATAGCCGTCGAGTACTGTAACTTCCAGACTCACAGTTACATTGAAAAGCGGAGACCACAAAATTGCTGATTATGAATCTATTACATCGGATGGTTCCCATTTACAGACGCATACAAATACATGACAACGCTGCAATTGCCACTCTTCAGTTCTGCACACGATAATTTTCCAGCTTTCAAAAAAAGATACATAATTCTCACATCCAGCCGCAGTGGGCTTTCCCTTTTACATAACAAACATACGAAAGCACTTGTTCTTACATTATTTCTATGACGTATTAAGAAGATCCCCACTTAATGGTACCTGCACCTTGTCGAGGTGGTGGTGGGGCTCGAGTACCTCAGAGACTCCAAGAGCTACTGGTAGGGCCTCCCTAGCCAGATTGGTCGAGGGGGAGAGGTACCCTGGTCCTCCAGGTTGGGGGTTGGTCGCAAGGCTAACAACCCTGCACCGTAAAAAGGAAGATGTTTCGAAACCTCGATCAAAGCCTCGGACAGACGGACCTAACGGAAGAGGAGAATTGAGGAGGCCATGGACCGAATATGGACCGGAGAGCCATAGAAGAAGAACAAAAAGGGGCAAGTCTGTTTTCATATAGCCACTTTATATAATAAATGTTATTTGATACAGAAGGGAGATGTATAATTAGAGCAAAAAGCAATACAATAAACATTACACATCAGGTCGGCATTATTATAGCGATGAGTTCAGTATTCCTCTGCTTACAGCCAAAATATTATTAGTCGAGCCAATTCCTAACATAATAAAATTTAAAATGGAAATAAAGGCCATTTTCATCTTGATCTAAGTGTAAGAGCCTGTAATATGTTACACTCATGACACAAAAATAGGTAAATGTCACCGCATATCAACAAAATACGTACGTTAAAAAATCAAGTCGACAAAGCTAAATTATGTAGAAGTGAAATCTACTGAAGAATCTTCTGGAATTGTGATGGTTTGTCTACACTCGGTTCCAGATTCAGCAACTAATAAAACAACATTAAACTGTGGAGAAGTAACAGATGTGCTGGAAAATTAAATTACACAACAGCATTATAAATAAACAGAATATAAACGCAATATGATAAAATACAAATGTGTGGAATGAAACAAAACAATATAATATTCCGACCTGAATATATTTTACTTTAGTATTTCAGCAATTACAAAACTGTTCAAAGAATAAAATATCAGCCGATACAGAAGCAAACGTAGCCTAACGAGGTCAAACGACTACCTCTCGAATAGGGTATAGTACTAGAATTTGGTCAACAGCAGACGTACACTCTCTACAAGAACAATCTAAGGCGTGTGCAGAAAACTGATAACCCTCTTCAATGCTACAAAGTTTTCCATCACCTACTTGGGCTGTGAATACATTTTTGATATTCAACAAGTTCAATAACAGATATTTATACTGACTTCCTTTAATTAATATCTGTTGTATTTCCATAATTTAAATTGTGTCGGAGGTTACTGTGAGGAGACAGCTCAGTCAGTATAGTGACTGACCATGGACTGGTTGACTATCAATTTCCAGCAGCAGCAGCATTATTTTTTCTTCACCACCACCCAAGACTGACTGCGAAGCCGACCCTCCCACCCTCCTGTCTAATGGGTAGCAGAGGCTCTTTCCATAACCGAGAGGCCGACCCTCCCACCCTCCTGTCTAATGAGTAGCTGGGGCTCTTTCCATAACCAAGATATCAAATAATATGAATATAAATAATTATCACAATAAATTATTAAGACTTAGGACTGAAAATTTAAGTTCCAAATTTTTAGGGCTGATTAAGCCAACTGCAGTACGTAGTTTTAGCTCGGCTCACATTTCTTTAATACAATAAAAAAATAACCGACAGTACATACCTGCAAAATAGCTACCATAGCAGTGAAATGACGCAGATATATTTTTAAACAATACCACGAAGCCGAGGATGAGCCGAGCAGACCTGAGTAATGGCATTCATCACAGACTTCACGTTTACTTTCTTGTGGCCACACACATTGGCTAGTATGTACAGCTGTCTATATGCATGAGGATTCTGTGGCGAATCAAACATTTGTTACATTCGATATTAAAAACAACAGAAAATGCATATGAAGAAAATAAAATTCACTGTGCAAGACATACATTCTAGCAAACTCTCATGTAATTACAGCTGTGATCACATTCATATTCCACACATATTATTGCATTAACAATAATACTAAACTAACTAATTAACTAACTAGATGGCTTACCGAACCCAAAGGTTCATCACCGAATTAACCAAAGCCCTCCACCGGACCCTGTCCTGGGCAAACAAAATCCATTCTCCTTCAACTCCTATCTCCCATAGATCCCGCCT